TTGGTTTTACCTAATTTAGGTGGCAATTTTTATTATTTAAATATTCAAGTATATTATCGTATTGAAACACACAGACACGGCACAGCGGGAAAAGCGGTCCGGGGCTGGACATGTAGAAAACGAATGTATCCCACGCGTAGTTAGCTGCGCGAAGGCGGCGGGTATGACACCAAAAGCGGGCTGCTTTCGTTTTCTACACAGATTTCAAAGAAAGCACCATATCGCTGTCGGAGAGTGATCACAAGAAAATTCTGTTTTTATCAGCGTTACGGAAAAAACGCAAAAGAAATTTCGGCCAAATTCATATTGAAACTTATTCATTTTTTTTTTATTTGATCATTTATTGTACAGAAAAAAACAAAAACACATTTAGTAACAAGGAAATACAAACAAAAGGTATACTGCTTATTTCTGACAGAAATTTCTTTCAGACCTAAATATAGGAGACAATAAATACAATAACGTGTTTACGTACTCCACAAAACAAAAATTATGAATAAAAAAACCATACTAAAAACATTAAATTATTAAAACTATATAAATACTTACATAAATACATATTTCGTACTATAATACCTATAAAATGGATGGAACAGCCGGTAATAGTGCTCCTTAACTCTGAAAATTGCTAAGGATTTACTATCATGAACAGTAATGGGAAGATCGTTCCAAAGTCTGGCCGCATGAACAGTGAAGAATTGAGAATAAAAACCGGAATTGAAGGATGGAAAAGATAACTGGGACCTAACGAGAGAGCGACAGGGCTCATTCGAGGACATCAGAAAGCTGAAACGCTCTCTCAGATACCCGGGAGACATAGGGTTGTGCAGAATATTATAAAGAACAGAGACAGTATGCAAATTCCTGCGGAGACGTTTGGGAAGCCACTTGAGTTGACTGCGATACTGTGAGATTCGGTCATATTTCTATCGGTCATATATCATATTAATGTTTTTATTATGTTTAAGTTTACACTAAAGAGTTGTAAAAAAATATGACGCGCAATCCCAGTAAAGTCCCGCTCCCGGACCGCGCCCCTCCGTTGCCGCTCTGTGTGTAATAAAGAGGGGTACCCACTAGCGAGCTGTAACTGTAACCGTTACATGTTATGTAACCAAAAATCATAGTGTGTACGCGGTTCACGAGCTTGTCGCGAGCGGTACACGTGCGGTTCGCAGTGAGCCGTCTAATTGAAGACTGTTTTAAGCGTACACACTAGAACCTCGTTACACGTTAAGTCACAGCTCGCTAATGAGTACCCGGCTTTAATAATGTGCCAGACTACCACAACCATTAACTTGGTAGTTTGAGAACTAGGGACTACCTTGTACTATGAGTACCAGAGCAACGGAATTCGCTCTGGCGCACTTCCACGAACACACAGAGCACAACCAATTTAGAAAAGTTAATTGCCCAATTTGGTCCCACCGGGAATCGAACCCGGGATCTTCTCATCCAGCGTACACAGTTTAAGCCGTTGGACCACCGAGGTCGTCGCGCTGTATACTGTGGACCATGAGAACCAAGAAATCTTACCCAGGGTTGCCTTAGAGCAATTTAGAGTAAAAATCAGATCCTCAACGATATGCTACCAACCAATTTAGAAAAGTGCATTTCCTAAATTGGTCTTACCGGGAATCCAACATGAGATCTTTTCACCTAGCGCCCACAGTGTTTACCATTGGGCCTCAGAGATCATCAAGTTAAGAAATAAATATAAAATCGGCTTTGTCTGACATGAAAAAACACATAACTATATGAAATAACGTAATGTAAAATAAAAATAAAGATAAAAATAAAATAGCAATTGCAATAATAACGAACCTAGATAAATGAAAAGGGTCAACGACCGAGCTTCTAAAGACCATAACGAAAACATAGCCCTCGGTGTTATTATGTCATAGCCCGTCGTGACACGGAATACAACAAACAAAGTTAGTACACTGGCACAAGTAATTAACCATTATGTAGATAAAATAATAGGTTGTGTAATGTATCACAAAATATTATTGACATAATTTTGCTTCCAATAAACTCATATAATAATAGTAACTAATTTCATATAACGAACGTTTAATATAAACATAGATTTTATATTTTAATTTTTTACAACGAGCACTTATACTAACACTCATTTTTAATAACAATCATAAGTTATTAATCATAGTTAACATAATGTCATTTTATCTAAATTTCATTTCATCTAAAAATAAGAATATTTCCGAAAAACGATATCCCTAATTCTAATATTATATTAATTATAATTGGGCCTGAAAACATGATCAGAAACGCACACAAATTCTTTTCTGGTACTCGCCCGGCCGCTGCCGAGGTATGCTCGTAAAGCTCGCCCCGCTCGCTCGGTTTGTGCTGCTTTTTTATGTTCTAATCTAACCTAATCTACTGAATGGGAGCCAAGATTTGACCTATACGTTTGTTTTTTTTAAACTCCCTAGAATCCAGTGTTTAACATAATTTGAAATAAAGATACAGCACTGTAAACTATATTAAGGAAAACAACTCTCCCCTGCATCCGACTTTTAAATTACACTCCTAGTATCGAACAGACAAGTACCATGGCGAGTCGGGTTTAAACTTATTATTTATAACTAGTACAGATATTTTACCACGTAAAATAACTAAATTGACAGTATATGAAATGATTGTTATATAATATGAGCTTCATATAATTTTTTTATAAAATGTGAATGTTATATCAAACAAGAATTATAAGAGTTAAATTACAAAGAAATGAAATTGGTCCAAATTTAAATTATATTAAATGAACGGTATACATTATGTTTTCAAATTAGTTTATTGAAGTTTCGTATAGTTGCCTAACTATATATATAAGTAACGCCTGAATCTATTAGTTACTTACATTTGGGATTAAACGATTTATACTTACATCTCCACCTGGCGTGACTGTTCTCTCAGTGAAGTGCTGTGTGATAACCACCCTGCCGTCAGAGAGGTTTCTTCTGGTCCTTTTTCTTCTGTACAAATCTGAAAAATAAGACATACATAAAAATATTACAATAATCTATGTCAAAATCGACATGATGTTAGATTTTTCGCTGCAACAGACGATTGGGATAAAAATGGAGCAAAAAGATATGATTTTTTAAAATAGTTCAGAACAATTGAATGCGTAGTAAATATTTGCTTCCAACTATAACACAATTTACATCTTGATATTTTGTTTTAAATCTGGTTGCCATCATTTTTTTCCGACGATTAATCAGAAATCAGCCATCTGTATGTTTATTTTCTTTTTAAAATACCAAGTGACGGGACGAATAATGCGGATAATTCTTTGCTAAGTTGCCAAAAACAGAGGAGTATTTATGAATTATGATATTTTTCCGAATTAAGGGTGTAAATGACACAATTAGGTAAATATTCATCAATCACAAGGCTGCTTTTCGTCAAAAAAACTTTCATTGGCTTGTTCCGTAGGTCAGTTGGAAGAGTCACGAGTAAGGCACGGTATGCTGAAGGCAATGGTTTCAATCCAGCCGGGTCTTCATGTGCGTACAGATCTAGCGAAAGCGCTGCAAATGAGCCTGTTAGCGAAGGGCTCGCGAGCTGCACGCGTGCATCAGCTTGTGCGATCTGTTCGCGTGTCGTTTACGTGCCACATGTTTGTTTACTTGCAGAGGCGCATTTAACTGCGCGCATGCAACACACGTGCAGCGCGCTTGCAGTGCGTGTGCAGCGCACATGCAGCGCGTTCCTTGTGCATTCGCCAGATCTGCACGCACTGTCCGTGTTCGGTCTTTGTATTAATAATTATTAAAAAAAAATCACGAACACACTAGGGAAACCCAGTGTCGCGTATGCCATCGACACACATAAAGATAACCATAAATAACACTCAAATTTACGAGAGAATTAAATGTAGGCCTTAGAAATATTTCTCTCGGCCCGGGAAGCGAACCCGGGACTCGGGCAGACCAGCATGGTATCCGTACGGTCATGGAGGCAGTTAAATGTTATTAATTATAACGAACAAGTGGAGTAATTTTACAAAAAATAATTTAATATCATAACAGTAAAACTTAGTATAAGAAAGAAACTATCAATCAATTTCAGTGCAATATGCCTAGGCAAAGAGAATTTAAGCACTATGTGCCTAGGTATCAAATTGAAACCACATGTATTTAGGTCATACTAAAAGCATAGATAATACAATACTATTAAAAGCGTATATTGCATATTACACCACTTTGGTGATGCGTCATCCTATACATTAAAATGACAGCCCGGCGAGCTTTGATTTTAGGTGTCAACTAATCAAATTTAACGACATTGAGTAGACACTATCTAGAAATTGACATTTAAGGCAGTAGTTTGTCGATTTGTCGTCAAATTTTACGGTAATAATAATTAACATTACGACATACGTAGGTTTGATGAATTTATTATATCAGACTGAGGAACGCACATTAAATCGTTAGGTATTTTTAAAATATTCCATCCACTTCTTAGTTATTATATTATGATATAATAATAATAATACATTTATCCTTAAGCACATTTACAATAAAAAGGTTTACAGTAAAGAGTTTCGTAAATGAAAAGGATGGAACCTCAGCACTACTGCTGCTTTTCAGGTCCCACCTTCATAGATGGACGTCCGCTGCTGGGGGTCTACTCGCGATAAATCCGTCCGACATCCGTCCGAAACAATTACTGCCAAATAAGCAATACTTGACCAAATGAAAAGACGCGTGATGCGAATGAAGCTTCATACTGGATACTTGTCTTTTAATTTTGTCCAATATTATTTATTTGACAGTAATTGTTTCGGACGAATGTCGGACGGAGATCGAAAGTAGCCCTCCTGATAAGTGTAAAACTTCACAAGAACTACATTTTAAACTTATAGGACATGCTTAAAATTAATTTATTATTTCGATGAGCACACGAGTATATATATGTTACATGTAAAAGAACATTTATACCGGATACAAACGGCACTGGAACAGGTCTCAACTTCTACATACTTTTAAACTTACTTAGGTGACAAATAAATTGAGAAGAAACTTAAAACGAAGAAACGATTTGACGAAAAAACGATTCGTAACGAGTTGAAATATGTAATTAACTAAGTAAATATGTAATTATCTAAGTATTTATTATTATAATAATTTTTTTTATAATAAATACTTCCTGTAAAGGAGGGAGGTTCTCTCTTCCGTTGGATGAGGTTAAAAAAACAAGCCAAGTGAAACTCCAAATGGTTCGAAAGATTTTTATTTTCACCTTGTATGTCGCCAATACAATTTTACCCTATATGCCGAAGGTCCGGGTAGTTGTTCCCAAAAGGGATTCGACTCCTGGAAACCGTTCTGCGAGATGAGGTTTTACACTATATGAGCGTAAGAAATGTCAGAAGATCCGGGTAGCAGTTCCCAAGAAGGGACTTAACTCCTGGTTGCCTTGCCGAGCTCTCTGTATTCTCAGATTTCTCTTCCCGTTAACAAAATTGTGCTCGAGTAGTCACCATTCGAGGGAAAATCTTAACATCGCAAATCAATGCCATCTAGGGGATTCTTTGAGAACTAAAAGTGAACAATCTGGCTTAAGGCCGTCTATTACATAAAGTAGGTTTATTACATATGTAAGTATTTATTATAATAAATAGATAATTACATGTTTCAACTTATTTCGAATATTTTTTTCGTCAAATCGTTTCTTTGTTTTAAGTTTCTTCTTAATTTATTATAATATAATAATAGTTTATAATTTAATGTTATTGTTATGGTAATTATTATTGTGTTATATCATTTTTGTTTTGTTGTGCTCGTAAGCACCTTTATATTAGTTGAGTTCAGTTCGGGTTAGTTTTTTCTTTCTAATTTTGGTGGCAATTTTTATCTTCATGTATTCAATTCTATTATCGTGAAATATTATTTAATATTTCAGGTTAATACGCTCGAATATTAAATATTACTTCGTGATAACATTCCAGAATATTTAAATATTGAAAATTGACACCGAAATTAGATAGAGAAAACTTACCTAATCAATAATCAAAAATCTATCTATGCTTAGGCCTGCGGGAAGAAGTTTGAGAAATAAGCAGAACATAGGAAATGGAACCATTTTTCTGATCTCAGTCGCATATATTTGTGTTTTTTTTAACTAACCAACGTTTCCGCCCTTTACAGGTCCCATGGTCACAGCTGATCCGTCATATTTAGATCCGAAAAATAGAAAATCTAAGGACTCGATAAATAAGCAGAAAAATTTGTTTGTGATTTCCTTTTGGCAAATGTGAATTGTCTGTTATGTACAATAAATGATTAAATAAATAAACAGTGATAGTTTACTTTCAATCGAAAGTTGGTGTATCTTAGGATCATAAATACCAAAGGTTGCTGACAAATATAGTGCAGCCATACATCGAAATTGGTGTTTAACCCTAAATTCAACCTAATTCAGTGTTCACGCATCGACGTGTCCTATTTCCCGTCCGAAATCGATTGGGTTTCAGCAATCAGCAACCAAATTGCTCAGTTGATTACCTGATCAGCGAATACAATTTCATTACTGATATTTGTTGAAAATTTTGTTACTTAGGGTAAAGGTTAATGCGAACGAGTTCCACAGGGTATTGAATTGGAACCAATTTTGTTCTTTATGCATAACTCTCCACAACAAAAGGTAAAAAAAACCGACCTCAAAAGTACGTGGAATTACGTCTATTTGCTAAGTTTTATTGAAATATAAGTAAATAAAAAAATAATAATAAGTTCGCCACTATACAGGACTTGACACTGGAGATAATAAAAATCGGTTCTCACTACTCAAAGTATATTGAAAGAAAAACGCCTTGAATTGGACAAATAGCAAAATCAATCAATAAAATAATTGCTCCTAAATTACAGTTAGGCGCTATTTATAAAAATGAATCTTCATGCGTGAACAACCACTCTTAAAGGTGGATGATTTTCTTCAAAATAAAATTGGAAGTACCCCCTTACCAACAAAAAAGAATCATGAAAATCGATTCACAAATACCGTAGTTATCGCGTAACATACTACATATAAAAAAAAGAAAAAAAAGAATATACAGTCGAATTGTGAACCTCCTCCTTTTGTTAAGTCGGTTAAGAAAAGGAGATTGTTGTCAAAGGAAAATCGCGGTTGTTCTGGACGAATTTTTTCAAAATTTTAATTATGATTATTCCTCGTTTAAATATTAAATAGTACCTCTCACTGTGCTGTAACCACGGCTAAGCTCCTACAGCAGCGTCGTTGTTTCCGATTTCCATAACAGAAGTGTTTTAGTAACTTACTTTGGGATCGGAGCAACGTTAGTCATGTGCATGCTCGGGTAAGTTATGACGTCACCAATTGCCCTATTTGTATTAAGGCGACAGTCCGGAAAAGCGTTGCTTAGTTCAATTAATGCACTCGGTCAATATTCAAATGTCTACACTTACGTTCACTATTAGGGGAGTGCCAGGGATATATAGTTATTTTGAAATACCTTATTAGCAGCAATCGAGCTCCTTGTGAAGTAAGAGTCCGTTCAGATTAGTACTGCCACCTTACTTATTTCTGCCGCCAAGCGGTAATGTCAGCCTTACTGTGTTCCGGTTTTGAAGGGTAAAATTACAGGCACATGGAACTTGTCAACTTGTCAGGGTGACGGGCGCAATGGTAGTGCCCCTCACATCTTTGCAATTTAAAGCTCTGAGTGGCACTGTAACCGTTAAGGACAGGCGTGTAGTTTACCATCAGATGCACGACTTGTTCGTCCCGTCACTTGATGTTATAAAAAAAAACATATGTAAAGTAAAGGGGACATAAAACGTCTTTTATTTATTTATTTATACGAAACATATCATAATGTTTGAATATGGAACTATTTCTTCGGATCTAAACCGCTTATATTTGTTTTTTGAAACAAACCAACGTTTCAGCCCTTTACAGGGGGCATGGTCACCGCTGACTGAGATGGTGAAGTCATCAGTCAGCAGTTATATTTAATATTAATGCAAACCGGCCTATTTCTTTTTTGTTTCACTATAGTTACAAAAGTTATTAATTTTATTTTACCAAAGGACATTCCTATTTATGCTACATACACACGTTTCGCAAAATATTTTATTTTAACGATATGATTGTTAGGAAATAAAACTATTTTTCCGGATTTATATCGCGTATATTTGTTTTTTCAAACAAGTTAACCGTGACCATGGGACCTGTAAAGGGCCTGAAACGTTGGTTTGTTTTGAAAAAACAAATAAACGTGATTTAAATCCGGAAAAATAGTTTCATTTGCTATGTGTAATAATCGAACCTAAGAACTCAATATCATTGTTTTCTACATGTAATTTATTAATTAAAAGGAATTAAAAATAAATAAAAAAATATTAATAAGTAGTACTGTAGTCTAATGTCTGCTAGGCATTTTTCACCAGAGGAAGTGTATATATACCATAATACTTGGTGGTGTTAAGAAATCACCTTTTCTGTTGAAATTAGGTCTCTTTTAATTCAATGATCTCTCGCAGCATCCTGCACCATAATTTTTCTTCTATCACTTGTTAAAAAACGAAAGAAAACATCACAAGGAACCTGTATTCGTCGAAAAAGTTTTGAAAGTCTTCTATGTTGAAATGTCCTCAACCCGTATTGAGGCATACTCTGCTAAGGAATAATCTGTCAAGACTGCAATGCAATTCATTTACTCGAAAGTACTATTTGTTGGGAAACAATACTAGTAAA